CTCGCCATGGCGCCCGCCACTTGCGTCCTGATTGGCTGGAGGCCGCCACTCGACATCGGCGGCGGCCTGCGCAGCTCGTTCTCGGCGGCGTCGACACCGATTCGGGTGCGGTTTTCGGCGGCTCCGCGGCGCATCAGTCCTAGGAGGTCGGCCAAAGCTTATTTGTTGCCGAGCGACGCGCGCGCGCGGCCACCGCCGCCGCGCCAGGTGCTCGGATTTGATGATTTCGAGTCGATTCGGGGTCATCGAGTCGCCCGAGGCAGCTTTGCCCGTCCCTTGGTCGTTTTAGGACGCTCAGTACATAGACCGAGCTGACCGGACCGCCAGACGACCGTCGGGGCTGTTTTCGAGTCCACGGCTGCGCGTTCGAGGCTTCCCGAGCGAAACGCCGACACGCTCTCGAACGCTGTAAAAACGCCGACGGAGCCCGCGACGCGGAACCACTTGCGCAGCGCGACGGTGGGGTAACAATAGGACACGATCGCCGCCCCTGCGACTCCTGGCACGCCCGAACTCGCGCAAACCCTTGGATCCATGGGCTATAACTCGCAAATCGACCACTTTTGAGCCGATTCCGGACGCGCGCGACCACATCGAGCGCCGATTTTTGCGCGTGGTTGTCGTCGCAACATGTCCGGGGCGCGCACGAAGAAGAACGGCTAGAATCCATGCCATAGCGGCTGCATAAGGTCTCTAAATCAACCAACATGCTCTCTGAGCTCAGAGCTCATTCTAGTGGGGAAATCGATGTCTAGTGGCGGTGGCGGGGCGCAAGTGCCGCGGGCCTCTGCGGCAAACACACCGGCGCCTAGGGGGGCGCGCGGGAACGTCAGCCATCCGGGGTGCTGCGGGCGATCGGGCGGGACTTTTCCCGGGCCGAGGCTCGGACCGCGTCGGCGCGCGCGGCGCCGCGCGACGGCCGAGTCCTCGGCCGTGCGCGTCCCGACTCCCGGCCCGTCGCCGCGCGCCGCGGCGACGAGGAGCCCAGCACAGGCGATGGCCTCGAGCTAGCACCGGCCCCGCCGCTGGGCGCGTGGACTTGTTGTGCTCGCGTCCGCGTCGCGTTTGTTTCCCATGGCGTCGCTGGAGTCCATCTTCGCCGCGCTCGAGACGGAGTACCGGCACGACGCGTCGCCCGGCGAGCGGCGGTGCGCGCGCGAGGCGCTCGCGGCGGTCAAGGCCGACGCCGGGTCCTGCTTCGGCGTCGCGCGCGCGACCGCGGACGCGGACGGGCCCTTCTGCTCGCCGGCCTGCGACGCGCTCCGCCGCGCCCTGGGCCTGCTCCTGGGCGTCGCGCGGCGCGCGCACGCGCCGCCGCCGCCCGTCGAGCCCTGCGGCGCGCCCGCGGCGCCGGCCGGCGGCCTCGCGGCGCTCGCGGCGGGCGACGCGGCCGCGGCCGTGCTCGCGCGGTGTTTAGGCGCGGCAATCGCGGCGTCGCGCGCGGTCCACGGCCTCTGGGCGCCGCCCCTCGGCGCCGCGCTCCGCGGCGACGGCGTCGCGCGCCTCGCGCTCGCGCCGGCCGTCGACGAGATCCGCGCGAAGACGGACCCGGGCGGCGCGGCGCTCGCGGCGTCGGGCGGCGGCCTGGGCACGGCCGCGGGGCTGCTGCGGGGCCGCGCGGACAGCGACCACGCGCTCCGGCGCGCGGACGGCCCGGGCCTCGGGCCGCGCGCGCCGGACCGCGGGAGCGTCGCCGCGCGCTGGGCCTGCATGCTCAACGAGCTGCGGAGCGCGCTCTACCAGATGGCGCGGCTCTGGGTCGAGTGCCGCGGCGCCTTCGCGGCCGACGGCGCGGAGCTCACCGCGGGGCTCTTCGGGTCGCTCGGGCTCCTGGGCGACGGCGCGTCGGCCGCGGTGCTCGAGTCCATGGAGCACCGCCACGTGACGTCGCTGCTCAAGCACGTGCTCGAGCCGCTCATGCTCCGCTGCCCGCCGGCGCTCTACGACTCGCACCTCGCGCCCGTGCTCCGGCGCCTGACGGCGCACGTCGAGCCGCGGCTCGCCGCGGCCTGGTCCGACGACGGCTCGGCGTTCGGCGCGTTCTGCCGCGGCGGCGCCCTCGCGATGGCGGACTTCGACGACGGCGCCGCCGCGGCCATGGCCGAGGCCGCG